AGCGCTAGTCAAACGTGGGTTGCGTAAGGGAGAGACGTGCAGTATCTATGGTGCTGTTCGCAGTCTGCGGACATTTATTCACAATGGGGGTTACTTGGGCGGCGACGAAGGAAATGCACAAATCAGTCGACCATATTGCGTTATAAACCCGGACGCCCATGCAACCAGCACCATCCAGAAAACGTCGCAACATTCACGCCGTGGCTAATGGTCCTAATCCATTTTGGATTCGTATCAAGAAACATATATAATATGTATAAATGAAGATAATTGATCCAGAGTATATCAGTCAATCAGAATTCGTGTTCATCCGGCCATGGTATCAGTCGAAAATTCGATTGGTCCTAAACGCTTGTTTCTTATGCTGTCCTGAAAGTGAAACACGTATCTCTCTAGATGATATCATTTGGGAGCTTTGTATCATCGACATTTTTTACACCTAAAGAGTTGTAATTTTCCAATTCTTATTGAAGAAGACATTCGAACCACGTATGAACCAAGATATTCGAACATCACGCCCATCAAACGTCCTACACAATCACCTCTCCTTACTGATTTATGTCATTCACTGTTCGACTTAATTTTCCCAGTGGTCCTGCGAGGAGGCTAGTCCGTTCTCGAGTAGTTGACCTGAATTTGCTTGGTATGATGTGATTTTCTATGCATGTCTGTCTATTCAAATTAATTTGATAAAATATCCAACATATCTGCCAGAACTTCTTGTTCTTGATTGAGGCCTGATTGCCGGCTGGCTCAGTAATGCTATGCACAATGAAATAGCAGACTTTCCGCGTAGCCGTATTTCATTTTTCAACAATGTGTAAAAACGGATCTTTCTGACTCATTCTGCGTCATTCTCCGTTTCAATTGACTTCTTTTACTTGGATCAAATTTTCGAGATGGATAGTTAGTGGAGATAACCAACTTCCTTGTGACATTGAGTGCTTGCTGGTAGTATCGTTGAGTACGCCCACAAATCGTGGGTGCATCCTAATAACATAGTGTTTTAGACATGGAAACACCAGCTAAAACGGGCCCTGACAGGAACCCCATTATTACAATGTCCTTCTGAATATAGATTTCCTAATTGAACTTGACTTGCACATTGTCAATACAGAAAAGAATAACAATGCTCATTGGTCGTTTGTTGGCTGACCGCACGACCAAGCGTCTATCCGAGCGCATCCGGGAGTATCACACTGAGTGGTTGAGAAGTGGAGTATTAAGCCAATACCAAGCGCGGCCGGTTCGCACATTGTTGACACTGATCACATAGCAAACGGGACCTGAGCGTCCTGATCGTTTAAATGAGAGGGTCCATACGTTTTCAACTATAAGTGAATCCAATATAACTTCGAATGAACCCCACCAGTCGCGTTCTACCAGGAATCTACCAAAACGATTGGCTATTCTGTCGACAAACACCGATTGAACGGAGTATATCAAGACCCCACCCAGTTGGAATGAACTGATTTCCGCATAGACAAACAAAAGTATTTTTGAGTGAGTTACCAAGTGATGATGAACGTTTCGGAGGGGTGGGGTTTGATTAATTGTCCCCACCCCCCTCCGGCCCCATCAGGGGACGTTATGTCCTTTAGACGGGAATGAACAAACCCGGTGGTACTTGGCCTCGGTCGACCGAGTGACGAAGCGAATCACGTCTATATGGATCGATAAATCGGTCACCACGCTCAGACGTGAATATCAGAATGAATCATTGCACGAGTGGGTTCAGCCTAGGTTCTCAGTAGCCTAGTGGGTAAATTCCATTGAGGCAGACGTTCCTCGAATAAATACGAGTGAAAATCAGTTCACTCCAACTGGACGGGGTCTTGATATACCCCGTTCAATCGGTGATGTTTGACGGCAGAATTGCCAATCATTTTGGTGGATTCCCCGTAGAATGTAATTGGTGGGATTCACCTGAATTTATGGTGGATTCATGTGGATTTTAAAAGCTACTGACACGCGGTTTATTGTTCCAGCCATAGCGGAGGTAGGCAGTATCCTTCTTCACAACCCCCTTCTGTGCGTTGAAAAGCAATTTATGCAAGCACTGAAGCTCCCATTGCGGTGTTGCCGGCAATTAAAGCGTCATAAAACCTCGGTGCTAGTGATGATTGGGGACCAATTATGATACCAACTGTTGAATTACTTTCCGTTTTTTTCGTTTTAAATCGTTAGATGTTACCAGTCATAGGCATTTTGTTTTGTAATGGTATGATTTAAACACACTGAAAACGAGTTTGTTTGCAAATTTGTTCTGATTAGTTGCTCCCTGGGACGGTTTAGGCACCTGAAAAAAACCAAAGACCCCGTCGTGAAAAAGAACTGAAAGATTATACATCCGTAAGGCACTGGTAATGGCCAACACTCGTATTCACTTCCTGGATTTTTGTGCAGGAAAATCAAACTATCCGAAATAGTACTGATATATTCTGCTACGGAATCGTACAGATACTTCTAACTTTTCGCTTCGTCGTCATGCACTCATCGAAGGTGATACTGTGTGCAACCATCACATGCATTTAGCAAGAAGCTTAGTGATTTCATCGTGCGTACTCTAGAAACTTTCGGTGGATGAAAGCCAAACATTTGAGGATTACGTTCAATCGATTGTGTACAAACCGTTGGAATTTAAGCATGCCCTGCTCATGAAACGCGTGAATCCCTCAAAACGAATCCAGATGGATTCGTTTTCTTTCTTTCTTTCTTCTTTTCTTATATAAATCTAGACAAAACGTTGACAGAATTATTATCTTTGAGGCCAAAGTTCTGCTGTTCGGGGATAAATTCAAACAGTTGGATTTGGAGATCGAGTTTGAAAATATTTGTGCTCCGTGATCAAATTTGTGTCCCTCATCTCGATTGGAAGCGGCACAGCTTAACTCTACTCTGGTGAACACATGTTAGCAATATCAGAGTGCCAAATGATCGACTAACGGATTGATAACGGAACAACATCTAAAGAAATTAAGGGAGTTACAACGGAACACGGAAGTAATCATAACGAAAACAGACAAGGATCCGATATCGTCTTAACTTTTTAAATCAGACCATGTGAGAAAGTTGACGATAATTATGAATTATGAATCGAAGTTCACAAAAATGTCCCACGAAAATCACAAGACACCGCAAATATAAAATGCCATTTCTACAAGATTACGAAAACTTAAATAAAGGGTTCTATAGACATGTTAGGACGGATTCGTCCAGGAGGGACTACGATTCAACGGTTGTTTGGGCTGCCTAAAGTACTTGAAGGTGGAGTTCCCCTCCAGCCAATCCCGGACATGTGCAACGCTCCTTACCATGCATTAGCAAATGGTTGGCTCGTCTTCCGGAACCGGTGAGAATGACGTTAACTCAGCATAGCCATGAGGAAACAATCGGTCTCAATAACGCCTTCAGCGGTTTTAATGTCAAAGATCTCCACATATTTTCAATAGATGTCACATCTCTGTTCACGAATGTTCCAATCGGTGAAACCATTGATTATCTGTGTACCTATACCGGAAGCAACTGGATTGGTGTAGGCCTACCGACAAATGACCTAAAAGAACTGTTATTCTCCTACACTCATAATGTGTAATTCAACTTCAGTGAGGAAATCTATCGCCAGAAGGACGGTTAGCAATGTAGTCACCGCTACGGCCCTTGTTTGCCGATGTTTTCATGTCTGAAATAGAAAACGGTCCGCTTGAAACATATCAAACCTGGTATTTATTTAGACAACGGACAAACGGGTCCGTTTTTGTTCGGTTGAATGAAAACGCAGACGCTTGTGCGATGTTCTTGGTAGGAATCGCATACCTCGATGAACCTGAATGGACACGATAGAAGGCATGTTGTGAAAGGAAAGTTTTGGGTAGTCTCATAGATCCTAAACGTATTACACCCGTAGAGTAAAACGCTGAAAACTGTGCTTAAATTTGTCCAGGAGTCTTCTTTTTTGAGCTGCTAACATTTTACTAGTTTTTCACCATTTCTATTTCCATTAATTGTCCGGAGGTTATTCGTTTGTGACCGATGATGCCGCCCAAAACGATTTCCTCCCGCAGCATGTCATCGGTCACATCAGTTCAAATGTTCCCTGTGTTGTATACAGCTAACCAGTGACCAATCTTCAGACTACTACAATACTGAGATAAAGGGCACTTCGTTTCACTTACAGAAACTATTTTCAATGAACGTCTGAAGACGTCGTAGTTTGCTGAGTGTGGAAATTGAACAAAAAATGAACCCAAATCTGTTAGGTTCAGCCTAATGCGCTATCCATCTACCAAAACCTTGTATCTCTCACACCTAAATTTGTATAATTTGCCTGATTATGACATCCACCCGTGTTCTTGATAGCGAATCATTGAAAACATGGTTCTTCCTTTACTGTATACTATTATATAAGCTGGCAAAACAGCACGATCCTATTTGAGATTAGCGCGCAAACAGTTTAACACACGCGTGTGATATTTTCATTTCACTCGACCCTCAGGCACGAGTGCGCCGCCTATCACGCCTTCACTAAACGGTCAGACTAAGAATAATTCCCAGTTAGACGTTTTCAGTTTAACTTCGTACAACTATATATTATTCCGGCACTTTTGGTTGCTATTTATTGGTTACACGTTCCGTCAAATAAATCGTTGTAGGAATTTGATTTCATCGGGGTCCTTAACGATCGTGTGAACAGATGATTTAAAATTATCGGTCAATAAAATACCATCAAAACGTTTTTTGTTTGTTTGTAAGCCGAAGCTGACGAAGTGATAAATGAATTAAATTAGAGTGACGTTCAACAGAATGTGAATATGAATTCGAAACAAGTTCATGCAATGGACGCAATGATATGTCTGGTAGTCTGAATGCAGACCACATTCCAAATTGGGGCAGAGGAGAACAAATAAAATCACAGAAAGGTTTGTAAAAAGCGATAAGATCAGAAGAGAGATGGAGATAATGTTACGTTCGAGGAGAGATTTTGCACAGATTCGGTTGCTTCATCTGGGGACGGTAGTATGTTTTCCGGCAGAAAGAATGATTGCACGAATATCACGATATCTGGGTCTAACTTGACACCGAAGCAATTCGTTTGCATCTTCTGCTTTCATTGTGAACTCCTTACCATTAATCTGGCGTACCACAGTGGTTACCAATCGGATAGATTGTCTACGTGGATTGATTATGTAGTTTAATCGATGCAAAAACAGATCGTGTCTTCCGCGATCCTCGTCGTAAACCACTTCAATTGTGCGGTAGCCAGGTGGACAGTAGATTGCTCGTGGATCTTCCGGATGGATGAGGTTAACAATACAGCCACAATCTTCTTCAAGACGTAGCAATTGTCGAGATTTTGTGTACGGCGTAACCAGATAGTCACAGGAATGCGGCACGTGAATGTATTGTCTAGCCACGTGACCGATTTTCAAGCGCTGAATTGGATGAAAAATAACATTTTATCGATACACCAGCAAACATGTAGCCTGGGAATGTTTCAAACTGATAGATACAACATCATAGGTTACGCATCAAAAGTGACACATCCAAATATACATTTATTTGAGTACCGAATAGTTTAATCCCTACTACTTCATGGATTATGTCAAATTTGTTTCAATTGATGCACCTGTTTTGTCCCATCACCGCATTACAATGCTCTTTACATTCTACAAAATCAAAGATGGACTTTTGTCAATAATTCGATCTTATGTATGGGGTTTAGTTTCAAAGCATGCTCGAGCGTTTGCTGTATTAAATGGCACAAGAAGCAAATTTGGATCCTAGACACAGATTATGATGCCAGATAGATCTTAGCGGCCGAAAGACAGTCATTAATAACTTGAAGCAAATGCCATGGATAGTGACACTGTTTCTACATAAATATAAGGAATAGGTATATTTGAATGAGCTGTCTGGACTTCAATTCTTTCTTGATTTAATGGGTAATGAAGCTCAATTCTACTAAAAGTCTCTGCTAAAGGGTCGAAATTCAAGTTATTAACAGACTTGCAAAATTTGCAACCAAAATCCAAAATAGGCAGATTCGATTTACAGGAAAGTCAAAGATTTAGAGAGAGAGAATAAACGCGGCACATTTCTAACATTTGGATTCTGAGGAATTAGTTTAATGAAAAAGTTTAACCTCACTGATTACAACTGCCTATTTTGAATCAAAAATAAGCCATAAACGCACTTTTTCATTAGGAAGGCAGTTATTCGAATTTATCGATTTTTGATCAGTCGGAGAGCTAGAGAACAAGATGAAGCAGTAAGAGACTGCTACACAATGATCTGCGATAGATGGGGCGTGTGGTGAAGGCAAGAACTTATGATATTCATGGACCTGTTTTGGTGTAGCAGGAGAATAACAATTGTAAACCGCGTAGGTCAATACATCAATTGAAATGATATGATCTATCCAATTTTAGAACCGTACAAGACCATCAAATATGAGTGATACGGAGTGAGGACAGACACGATATGACGCTAGGTTCTGCGTCAAAATGTGTCATTTTTTAATCAGTCATTGGTTGCCCCACCAACTTATTGTCATGGTTGAAAGATTATTTCACAAGGACGACTAAAAGGAAGGAAGCAAACTGCACTGTTTCAAAACCGTTGGTGAATAATTCTGGAGTCCTTCAGTGTACTGTGCTCTCTCCGTAGTTATTTTAAACTTTCCTCATCGACTAACCCTCAGTCCCACCAGCCAAGACCTTTAAATATGTTGATGATGTCGTCTTATGTAAAGCCATTGCAAAGCAATCTGACAGAATCGTTTCCCGACAGTTTTTTACAAGTGTAATCATTCTCGAACCAATCCGGTCTCTGGTTGAATACTTCTAAATGCTTCGAGTGCGTTTTTAGTCTTACCGGATTCGAATATCCCTTGGAACCCTCACTCATCAATTCCGTAACTATCACCTACCACCAAATGCCTAAAAGTCACCATAGATAGCAATCTACGGTGGTTCCCTCATGTGCTAGCCTGGGTTGGTAGACTATATCGCTTATCTTTTCAAATACGCAAGCTACGACAATTTCGAGTGAAGAATGAATCTGTAAGTTCTTTTGTTTATCAATGCATTTTTTCTATCATACTTTATTGTTCGCCCGTTATTTTCCCTGTACTACTTAGAAAGGATTTGATTAATCCTCGTCGCAGTTTGGTAATTATCAATCGTGTATCTCTTATTTCTTTGAACACTCTCATCACAAAATTGGGTAACTTGCATATCATGTGAGAATTTCGCTTAGAAGATAATCAATGACTTCAGTCATTCGCTCAATCCCGATTTATCTGCCGTTCCCACGCTACAACCCGATCCAGTTTTGGCTGCTTGACATCCAGCATAAACATTTATCGTAACTCAATGGCTTCTCACTGACACGGTGAGGATCCGCAATCAACTAATTTTAAACCTACTAAGATGAACACCTGTTTACGTTTCATCATTGTTGTATGTGAATTTTCATTTCGTTTGTTATCCCATTGCAACAGTGAACACATTTTTTGTCTAAAATGTAGGCCCAGTTGCCTGCACAAGTCGTCTGTAATACAATAATATAAAACAATACAATATGTAAAAGGCTTGACTTCTTTTTGCCTGTTAAGTTTACATTTGTTTGTTTCGCAGAGTAAACTGCGAGAGCTGGATCGATTCAACTGTTGAAGCTAACAACTGAAGGGAGGCCATAAGTATAGGTACCAAGAATGGGTAAAGTTGTGCAAAACGTTTCCAATGATTCACTGAGAGGTTAGAGTAAACAGACAATGTGAAAAAGATTGCTCGAATTATTAGTGATATCAATATAAATTTGTGCAACTATTATTCGTGCCCTTTTGGTTGCTATTCTTCGGTTACACGTCTCGTGAAGCAATTCGTTGTAGGTTATTATTACCTCAGTTCATCGGGATCCCTAACTATTGTCATATGATAAAATAACGAAACTGACATAAAGTGAAAGCTTTTACAATGGGAGACTGATTGCTCACGAAAAACGAGTTTGAACAATTTGGACACAGAATTACATGAGGAACGTTCTGATTGCACGATGAAATGCGTTCCTCAGTTGACGTGACTAACAGTTCCTTGACTTTGATTTGCACAAACGTTCCTGAGCCCACGGCATTGTCACTGAGAGAAAGACGGGACGAAGAGCTGAGGTGCTGGGAGGCTATGTGTACGCAAATGGGGATCAGCGCCCAACCTACGGGTCTCACGCGCCTTCGGCGACAGCCTAATTCACCTCAGGCTGGAGAACCCCGGTTTCGCCGGGTGACACTATGTAGCGAATCAGACGTAGAAAATGTTCTTCTGTTCAGCTTTCTCCTNTCTCCTTCGAGGAAGTTCAAGTAAAATAAGGATTCTACCAGACAGACCATGGAGCGAGCGCACGCACCAACGAAATAACCCGGACAGTGCACGGGAAACAGACAATGCCCGGGTGATTCTTATGCACGGAGTCCCACAATTAAATGATCCAGACGCATCAAAATGCCAGCAAAATGATAGTGAAGACTGGCGGTTCATTCAAGATCTCATCGGATGTCGCCAGATCACGATTAAAGCAGTTAGCCGTCTCCCCTGNGCAGAGACGGCCCGAGAATTCGGAAAATAACTCTAGGCACACCAGAAATGACTACGACTGTCTTGCAGTCTTGGTACCACAACAAGATCAAGGGACCATCGGAGCTGAGGTTGAGACCCATGCACAGCGCAGGGACCAAAAGTGTTTCACAGGCAAAAAATATCACCTCCATACAAGCTGGGTTCCGACAGACTTTGTGTTCCTTCCCGAAACTGGCAGATTTGTCCCGAAAACTATTCCCCCAAAAACACTTCCCTTAGCCGATCACGATACGGTCGGTTCAACTAACCCCCTTCTCCCCGACGAGTTACTGCTCCGCCACCAACTGCATTGTTTCTACACTAACTCCCAAGCTTCCTCAACAAATTTTCAGAGGTAGAACTGCGTTGCCAAACTGGTCAATGGGAATTTATTGCAGTCACCGAAACCTGGCTGACAACCGACATTCTGGACTCAGAGTTAAGCTTACCCGGAATGACTCTGCTCATACGCGGTCGACCTACAAGGGGTGGTGGGGTGTTACTCTACTTTAGCAGCAAACTAGAATGCGAAGTAATTGTTTATCCTGCTGCGGTTTCTGACTCACTATGGTGCAAAGTGCGACTATCGCAGCGCGATATCGGCTTGATGTGTTGTGTACCGCTCTCCGGACTCAGCCAATGGGACACTATTGCAAACCATGTATCACATACTGTCACTGAAGTTCACACATGTTCTCATTATGGGAGACTTCAATTGCCCTAACCTAGATAAATCAGCTACCTCTCTACAACCGTTTGAGAGGAAAATTGCACAGCTCATGGAATCCTATCCACTTTACAATTTTGTGAAGGAGCCCACGAGGTTTGGAGCCAAACAGTCACCATCGGTTTTGGACCTGGTGTTAACTAACGAGGAACTGATGGTGGAAACGATTTCCACTGCAACTCCATTAGGGTGTAGTGATCATGCTTTGCTGACGTTTGACTACATTTACTATGCTTCCGTACCGCACAACTCTACGGTTAGCCCTGTATGTTTGTCGACTACACTAAACTTCAAATTTTGGCGAGGGATTTCCAATGGAAATTTCCCAACGAACAGTGTGATCCCCTGGTATCCTCATCTCAAGGGGTAGATAGTATCCATCCACAAACCCTTATCAACCTGGAGAGTAACTTAGCTCAACCACTAAGCAAACTATTCCAACAAATGTTCAACAAAACTGCGCTCCCAAAAACATGGAAACAAGGGATAATCTCTCCGATATACAAGGGCGGTTATCGTAGCGATCCAGCTAACTACCGCCCTGTTACTCTCCTTCCCGTATTATCCAAAGTCATGGAATCAATTGTGGCAGACAATGTGATGAATCACTTGGAAAAATACAACGTGTTATCCCCGGCTCAACATGGTTTTCGTCGCAGGTGATCTTGTACCACAAACCTGCTTCTGACCCGAAAAGAGTGGACAAAAGCAGCTGATCACGGTGATGCAGTGGACGTTGTGTACCTCGACTTCTCCAAAGCATTCGATCGAGTGAACCACAAAATACTGCTGAGGAAACTACACAACTACGGAATTCGGAGACTTGTACTGGGCTCGATAGAAGAATTTCTTCGACAACGCACCACGGCAGTTCGGAATTCTGGTTCACTTTCTGATCCCATCAGCGTATCACCAGGAGTTCCAAAGGGATCCGTGCTGGGCCCTCAACTTTTCCTTCTTTTCATAAACAACCTAACGGACATTCTCGGGCCACATACATTAATGTTTGCAGACAATGCAAAAATATGGAAAACGGTGACAAAACCAGAGGACTCGCTGGAACTCCAAAGAACACTTTATGCTGTCTATCAAT